AAACAAAACTATCACGTGATACAAATATTTACGCGCGAAATATAAACCAACTAGAACTGTTCTAATAACAGTACTGATGCAGGGCGTAATACGACATTCAGGTACATACGGAGATAGTCTCTTGCAATTACATTGATGTAAATAATTTTCTGCATCTCTAAATTAATATATCCAAAAGTGCCTATAGGTTAATGTATATTGACTAGGAATAAAAGAATGTTTGTCAATTAATTAAGAACAAGTTTGATGAAATCCGGATAAGAAATAAGAAAAGTGGTAATGCGCATGCGCACAACAAAAATTCAATATTTGCATCAAATTAGAATTGGATTATACACATACATACCAAGTTTGGTGAAATTGGGATAAGAAATAAGAAGGTTGGTAATGCGCATGCGCACAACAAAAATTCAATATTTCCATCAAATTTAGAATTAGATTATACACATACATACCAATTTTGGTGAAATTCGGATAAGAAATAAGAAAGTTGGTAATGCGCATGCGCACAACAAAATTTCAATATTTCCATCAAATTTAGTATTGGACTATACACATACATACCAAGTTTGGTAAAATTCGGATAAGAAATAAGAAAGTTGGTAATGCGCATGCGCACTACAAAAATTCAATATTTCCATCAAATTCAGAATTCGATTAAACACATACATACCAAGTTTGGTTAAATTCGGATAAGAAATAAGACAATTGGTAATGCGCATGCGCACAACAAAAATTCAATATTTCCATCAAATTTAGAACTGGTTTGTAGACATACATTCCAAGTTTGATGAAAATCGGATAAGAAATAAGAAAGTTGGCAATGCGCATGCGCACTAAGCAAATTCGATTATTCCATGAAATTTAGAATTTGATTATACACATACATTCCAAGTTTGATGAAAATCGGATAAGAAATAAGAAAGTTGGTAAATTAAGTGGAGGTATCCCTTTAATGTGCTTCCGTAAGCTTAACTTACAGTATAACACGGTTCAATCTACCCTAGAGCTTATTTATATACCGCAACATATTAAAGGAATGTAAAAGGAAAGGTGTCTTTAAAACAACTTAAACTTTGATTTCTAGGGGTTGACAGCCAGGTTAATCTAATGGGGTTCCGAGACAACTTGTCTCCCCTTAGAAATCACGGTGGCGCTGCGTTCGACATGGACCATACGGATTAACAACAAGATGGCTACTTCTGTCAAAGATACGTCTTTGTCTTTAAATGAATTAAGGATCGAACTGAAGAAACGAGGAGCGAAGTTGTCCGGAAGAAAAATTGATTTAGTTGAAAGGTTTGTATACATTTTCACCTTTTCAACACTCAAAATCACACTTAACACGTGTCTCCGCTTGATCGTATTTGACAGGTCACACCTGTCGACGTCGTGTTGTGTGTGGTGAGATGTGGGCGCAGGTCCATTTTTCCGCTTTTTTGTTCAACAAGGCCTAAAACCAAATGCATAATTATTGATATCGTCTTTTATTACTTTTAAAAACTTCCGATTTTAATCGTATGTTGTTCAATGCAGGCAAGTGTGTTTTGTCTGTTTGCTTTGGAAATTGTTGAGGCATTATAATATTCTATGAATTTCAAAATGCAAATTTAAATTCATATTCCTTTTTTGTTTATTGGGCTTTATATTTTAAAGAATTTATATTTACTTCTCTAAAAGTTGTATTCATTGTCAATGTCATTGTATTTTCTAAGATCAGATAGCTCAGGGGTTAGAGCTATATGCACATTTCTCATATTAATTCACTAATTGTTAAAAGTATTGAACAGAATACAATTGGCCAGAGCAAGAATAAGTTATGGTTTCAGGAACGATCCAAGAGAATTCAATCATCAAACTTTGGTAGAATTTGTACTGCCACAGACAGAACTAATTTTCAAAGATTGGCAGAGTCATTGATAAAACCATCAGATATTAGAACAGCACCAATTCTCCATGGGAGGAAGTATGAAGATGCTGCAATTAGAAAGTACGAAGACATTTCTCAAAATAAGGTCACAAGATGTGGAATCTTTGTTTGTGAAGAGTTCCCGTTCTTGGCAGCATCACCTGATGGGTTTATCAATGACTCAACTGTGATTGAAGTTAAGTTTCCTTATGTTGCCAAGGATAAAGTTATATCAAGTTCATCTGTTCCATATTTACATGAGGATAATGGTTCCTTTAGTTTAGACAAAAAGCATACTTTTTTTTCAAATTCAAGGGCAAGTGTTGTGTTCCAAAAGAAAGAGGTGTGATTTCATTGTTTTTACTCTTAGGGATATTAAGATTATTAGAGTGGAACGAGATGACGAATTTATATTTTCTATGATTAACAACCTACAGGAATTTTATACCAAATTTTTTAAAGAAGCATTCCTCAATGAATTTTTATATATTATTTTAGAAGAAAGACTTGTTTCTGTGCTGTTTAATTGAGACTTTAAAATCTTAAATGTTTTTCCAAGACCTATAATCCTCTCAATATGCACCCGCTTGCTTGAAATACGTCTATCTTTTAAAACAATATTACCTGAAAGTCTGTTTTTTCCTAAAAAATGAAGGAATGTTCGCTGTAACATTTTTGGGAGCAAAAATATCCTGAACATTAAATCCCTTATCTGCCATGATAGAGTCACCTGGGTCACACATAGATACAAGACCCCCTCTTTCAATAATCTGACGATCACTTGTACTACCTCCATAAGCTTTTGGGATATCAACAATTAAACCTGCAGGTATTGCTGAAACTAAAGTTTTTACAGTATTTTGGTTTTTATAAGTTGAAAATGTTGCTTGTTGTGTTAATGGGGGTTTAGGTTTTTTAATCGGTATTTCGGTTCCATCAATAATACACCTTGTGGCTGGAAATTTAGATTTAAAATCCTTGGGAGAATAGTAATATACAACCTCTCTAGGTGGCCATATATTCAGCTCACTCCATTGTTTAAACATAAAACAAACCCAAGTAATAAAAATATTTGAAACAGAAAATTCTGAAATTCCAAACATTCTAGACAATTCAAAATTAGTTTTATGCTGACGAAATTTAATAAGAGTCAGAAAAAATTGATCAATAGCTGGTAAAATAGATATAGTTCCAGAGCTGTGAGCAGCACGTAGATGGTGAACGGCAGCTCCTAATGACTGAAAAACCATTAAAAATTTTGCATAAAACTCTAAACCAGTATAAAAATGAATTCCTGCTGAATCATCTTTAAAATTTTCTGAAGAGAAATAATATTGTTTGAGTGGAAGTGTTTGTGTTGCAGTTTCAACAGTTTCGGCATTAACATTAACTGGGATTTGAAAATTAAAATCATCTGAAATTGAACGTTCTACAATTACATCATCTTGTAAACCTATATTGTCCATACAGCCATAAAATATATCTTCACCATTATCACCAACAACATTGCTACTAGAAGCTACTACAGTATTACTTCTTCTTTCTATCCGTTTTCTTCTTTCATCACTTCCATTCCTTACTTTCGTCCATTTAAACAAACTTGGCACAGCTGTTTTTTTTTCAATCTTTTGCAACCTGATTGTATACCTGAAACAAATTTTGAAACAAATTTTAAATGACTAGCTTATCCTAATCAATATACCTGGTATATAAGACAATACTTTAATGGGACAATGATTCTGAATAGGGTCCAATAACAAATTTGAAAATCCCTGTGTGTTTTTTTATCAGCACAAGTCTAACACAAACACTCCTTTTTTGTACTGTAGGTTATGTTATAAATTCAATTTCATATGAGAAATAATAGTAGGTTACTCATATATATTATTGTTAACAAAGGCCTAATCATATTCACGAAACACATAGGCATAGCCCTATCAATATCATGTTCCATCACAAGAACTATTAGTTTAGACTTAGGGATAGATCTAGGTCTATTTCATTTTTCCGTTCGATGTAGGTAGGCTACATTATATTACAGACAAGACTGTACGAACAATAATCAATAGTTCTACCCAGAATATGCCTTCCCGTAACTGTATTACATGAGCAAATGATGCAAAGATAAAGTTTTTCGCAGAAAATTCAGAAACATAAAGTTTGTTTATAAAACAAAAAAGGTAAACAGGAAGTGTATTATATTACGGACTGACTTTTTACTTATGGAAAAGTTTTTGATTGAACAAATACGCCACTTAATGGAATAAACTTTACCAGAACGATAATCTTAGCTAATATTGAATCTAATATTGATTATTGCTCCCAATGAACCGTGACACTGACAGAAAATTTGGACTTACCACCATAGAAAGGCGTAGATATGTAGTCGTCCCGGCCAAATTGCTCTGAACATACTACACTGTTTGTTGTTGGTTTCCACTTGTCACGCTTTATGGCTATGATCCATTTCTTTCGTAACCCCTCATCCTTTGGAAACGAATGTCCTCCTCTGTTCGAACATAGTGGCACAGAACAACAACACGGCGGCATCTAGTAACTACTAGTGGCCGAAGCTGGGTAAACGACTTCTAGGTCTGTGTCGCTCGTAGCGCCGTCTATCTTGTCATAAAGGGAAGTAACTTGCCTCTGATGCTCATTTGTCGATTTATCTAATAATAACCCCATGTTAAGTGAATGGGGTTTTGAATTTGCATGTAAGGCATGCATGTTATATATCATTGGAAAGCGCAGGATCTCAGCATTGTCGGACACAAAAAATATTAGCATCATGTAAAAGCTGAAGTCAATAGTAAACATTAATGTAAATATCGACGTCATCCGAGTCCAAGTTCCTTTGATAGACGCATTTAAAGATTTAAGGAAATTGCAAATTTCCATTAATGTGACTGACATCATCAAATGCCACATGAATTGAAACCATTCATTAAGTACATTAATAATCTGAAAGTGGTATGGCGCTAAATCAGTTAGAGTTTGAGATACAGCAATGCAAAAATGCCATTTTGACCATATTTAGACCTCTATAAAACCAGAAGTTGTTGTTTGATCCCAAAGGTCAAACTTTGAAAAAAAAACATCAGGTCGTACAAAAAAGGCAAAACCGAAAATCAAAATTATGCTTCCCATTTTTTGTAGACAGACAATAAACGTATCGTATGACATAAAAATTACGCAAATCGGATGATAAATGGCCTCTGAATAGCAATTTCTGGAAAATGAGGCAAATAAGTAAAGTTAAGTTAAATTTAGTTAAATAAGTTTGTATTAAGGCTGATAATATAATGCATATTTTATTTTGGACATAACTCAATTTCACCGGAAGTGATACCACAGGAAGTACTAACATCGAAACCGGAAGTGATAAAATTTTTTTGAATGTGTGCTTTTATTCCACTATGTTGGCAGTCTACACCATGTGAGTTTCAAGTCAATCCACCAAACTACAACCGAAATAGTATTTCCTGATTAATTACGGCAAAAAAAAGTATTGAACGAATTTTCGAAAATCGAAAATTTTGCAACTGCTATCATTAATATTTTGTCCTTTGTTACAAGAAATACGATGCAGAAAACCCGATCAAAATCGGTTGATAAAAACGCCCTCTAGAGTCCATTTTCCGTTTGTTGCAATTTTGCGTAATGTTGCTCAGAAAATTTTCGTTTTACAATTAAGCTGGGATTAGCCACGAGTTACGAAACGCCACTAAGTCCGTTTTCCCGTACCTGTTGCCGTTTCCGAGAAAACCGGCCTGCGCTGGACGAAAAAAAAAAAAAAAAAAAAATCAATACGAAAACAAAGCAGGGCGTCTGCTTACGAACGCCCTGCAATAAACCAGGCACTTTTGGATATTTGCATTTAGAAAACTATTTACATCAATGTAATTGCGATAGACGATCTTCGTATGTACCTGAATGTCGTAACCCGCTCTGCATCAATACTGTTATTAGAACAGTTCTAGGTTTTTTTTAGCAAAGTCCTAGTTTGTTATCGAAATGTCATTGCAGGGCGTTCGTAAGCTTTGTTTTCGAATTTACTTTTTTACCTGCTTTGTTTTCGTAACGATTAAGCTTAGTGTCACAAATACAAAGTGTTACAACTAAAAAAATTCGTACTGGAAGTAGCATATAGGTCGCCATATTAGTTTGCCTCAATATGCAAAACTTGCTATTTTTAAGCTATTTATTATTCGATTTGAACAATTTTGGTGTCAAATGATAGAATTAACGTTTATCTAAAACTTGTTGTGGACAGAATTTTGATTTTCGGCTTTGCCTTTTTTGTACGACCGGATATTTTTTTTCAAAGTTTGAAGGCGTATATCTCATGACCCTGACCTTTGGTGACCTTCATATTTACTATGATGATAATTTGTGACTTTGAATATCTCATGACTTTTTGACCTTTGGGGTCAGACAACTATTTTCGATTTTATAGGGGTTTAAAAATGGTCCATTTTGAACCTTTGCAGTGCTGTATCTCGTAGCCTAATAGTGATATAGCAATAATTCTTTCGATTTCATAATGCTGAGATTCTGAGCTTTCCAGTGATATACAACATGTCTATGTAACATGCATATTTAAGTTGGTTAATGAGATGTCAGTATAGATAAAATTCCTGAGTTTGACATGTCCGTTAAAGTACCATTCTCCCCAATTTCTATCAGAAAGTTCGTCAACTCCAGGCACTTTTGGATATTTGCATTTAGAGATGCAGAAAAGTATTTACATCAATGTAATTGCAATAGACCAACTTCGTATGTACCCGAATGTCGTGACACGCCCTGCATCAGTACTGTTATTAGTACAGTTCTATTTCAGAGCGTTCTTGGAAATGACTATTTTTTTTGCAGGGCGTTCGACCTTGACCTTTGATGAGCTTCATATTTACCATGATGATAATAGCTGACCTTGACCTTCTTATGACCTTTTGACCTTTGGGGTCAAACCACACCTTTTGGTTTTATAGGGGTCTAAATATGGCCAATTTTGCACTTTTGCAGTTCTGTATCTTAATCCCTAATTGTATTAGCATGCTACCACCTTCAGATTATTTATGTACTTATTTAATGGTTTCAAATAATATCGCACTTGATAATGTCAAAGCCATATTTTAAAAAATGTTGCAATTTTCATAAAACTTTGAACGCTTCTATCTCAAGAACTGTACCTTGGATGATGTTGATATTTACAGTAATCGTTAATACCGACTACGGCTTTTAGATGATGTTAATATTTTTCATGTCCGACACGTGGTTCTGGTTTTATAGGTGTCACTAAAAGTTGAGTTTGCATCTTTAAAGCCTTCTAACAGGTGACTTAATAAAGATACAGCAATATTATTTTCGGATTCATAATGCTGAGATCCTGAGCTTTCCAGTGATATATAACATGTATGCCTTGCAAGCAAATTCAAGATCCATTCACTTAACATGGTGTAATTACTGTAGTCTAAATACGCTGTCATCGGTCTGTCAACTCTAATTAATATCAAAATGCCACATCCCCTTTTATATTTGTTTAATATATTTTATGTCCCGCTATAATATATAAATAAGCTCTGGGATGGATTGAACCATGTTATACTGTAATTTGAGCTTACGGAAGGACCTTAAAGGTATACCCCCACTTAATTTCCCAACTTTCTTATTTCTTATCCAAATTTCACCAAACTTTGTATACATGTATGTGTATAATCAAATTCTAAATAATTGATGAATTTATAGAAATTGCGTTGTGCGCATGCGCATTACCAACTTTCTTATTCCTTATCCAAATTTCATCAAACTTGATATGTATGTGTATAATCAAATTCTAAATTTGATGGAAATATTGAATTCTTCTTGTGCGCATGCACATTACTAACTTTCTTATTTCTTGTCCGAATTTCATCAAACTTGGTCTTTATTAATTGACAAACATTCACTTATTCTTAGTCAATATACTTTAAATTCTACGCACTTTCGCATATTTTCATTTAGAGATACAGACAAGTATTTACATCAATGTAATTGCAATAGACCATCTTCGTATGTACCTGAATGTCGTAACACGCCCTGCATCAGTACTGTTATTTGAACAGTTCTAGTTTTTTTTCCGCGGACCCGGGTGCTTATTTCTCGGAAACGACAACAGATACGAAAAAACGGACTTCACCACCGTTCGTAACTCGAGGGAAATTACCTAATGAATGTTAATCGGAAAATTTCTGCGCAACCGGAAGCGAGATCGCAAAATTCCGGAAATGGGCTCTAGAGTGCGTATTCATCGACAGATTTTGCCCGGGTTTTGTTTATTGTACTCTATATTACATTACACAAACAACAGTAATTAATAATACTATACTTTTATTAACATGGGCCGCCATCTTGGTTTCCCTTATTTTGCAAAAATTGCTATTTTAGAACTATTTGTTATCTGATTGACTTGATTCTGGTATCAAACGATACGTTGACCGTTTATCTAAAACTTGTAGTGGACAGAATTTTCATTTTCGGTTTTGCCTTTTTTGTACGACCGGATTGTTTTTGTCAAAGTTTGAAGGTGTATATCTCATGACTTTGACCTTTGATAACCTTCATATTTACTGTGATGATAATTTGTGACCTTGTCTATCTGTTGACCTTTGGGGTCAGATACCTATTTCCGATTTTAAAGGGGTCTAAATATGGACGTAAGCGAACGCCCTGCTTTGTTTTAGTTTGCCGTATAAAATTCATTTGCAAAGAGAAATCAACGACAAAAAGATATTCTTTGGTGAAAACAACTCTGACGCAAAATTGGAAATAACGAATATCCACTTTACATACCGGTAATCACTCCTTCCATAGAAGTGAAAAAAAAATATTCAACTCTTTAACCAAAGACACCGAAATTGCTTTTCTTCGTCGTAACACGGTAAGTAGCATGACTTTAACGGGAGAATCTACAACGTGGCCTATCACCAACACCGTCAAACCAGCGAGATATCTAATGGTCGGTTTCAAAAACTTACCAGACTCTCAGACAAACAACAACATTTTCAGAGTGGCATTGAACCACACTCAAGATCCCATCATTCGCAAAGTTCAAGTCAGATTGAACAACGATAATTATCCCAATCAACCTTTGACAATTGATCCTTCCAAAAAAGATTACAACGAATTGTACAGAAACTATAAAAAATGTGCGAAATGTTTGGAAATACTCCTCAGTTTGAATACACAGATTTTTCACTCAATCATCCATCTTTTGTTTCGATCTGTCAGCTCATCAAGAAGATCTTTTCAAAACAGGGGTAAACATAAATATTCACATCGATAAAACACAAGGAGAAGTAACCGGTTACTGTTTATTGCTGGAAGAAGCAAAACATTTGATTAAAATATTAGATAGAAGAATGATAAGAATTGAAT